GTTCGATTTGCTCCCTTCGCATCATGGGATCTTCCTGAACTGAGTTTTTGTCCTACTTATGCGTGGTCCAATATTTCCTTCCTCTTCGTTGAGTTCATTAAGCATCGTCGCTACTTCATTGGTACTCCTCGAAGAGACGGTGACGTCATCCTCGAAGCGAATATTTGATAGGAATCTTCCAACAACACATATGCACTCTCATCCTAATCGAATGACTTCATAATCCACTGCAGTGTGGCAGAAAACAGCCTTCACGATATTGTATCGCCTTGTCGTCTCCTTTTCCTATAGGTGCGCTGAGGAGGCGCTAAAAATCTATCGTTCCATAGTGTACCTTCGATAACAGTCTGCTAGTATTCATAGGTCAGGTGGCTCCACTTTTTGTTTGACGAGCGCTGTTAGGACTGTATTCGTTTCGAAGCTGCCAAACACTTTCTCGTAGTCGATAATACTCAGGACAAGAGGCAGATGATACTCTTGACAGACTACCATAACCCTTGATACGGTTTAGACGTAGGCCATGCAGCAGAATCTACTTGTTCAAATGGTTGTGTCTCATACAAGGTCTTCGATAGCGCAAAAGGATAATCTTTGTTAACAGCTTGTAGAGTACATTACGCAAGCATACTGAATACTTGTTTAGGATTTTTTCCTTCAAAAAGGAAAATGTCATATGGGTTGCGAGAGTAACGTTTAATTTGTAGCCAACAGCTTTAAAGAAATCGGCGACGATATTGTCGGATTCTGGACTGCACCCCTTTCCATGATTCCTATCCCAACCCGAACTTCGGAGGGTAGAATCACTGGCGCTTCTTCACCAGCGGGGATTTCGCAGTCCTAAACGAGGATTGGTGCATGGAAAAGATTGGTACAGAACTGTTCCAATATCATCACAGTCTTAACCTTTTTATTAATTGCCTATTCTTTTTAACGGCAGAATATGTTGCAAAATATAACTACTATAATGCTACTGTCTCTCAGCTAGTTCTTCTATCGATCACGGAAACGAAACGAGGGACCCGTATGGTGTGATGGTGAATGCGTTACTCCCCGGAAGGAAAGGACAATAGCGCGTTCGTTCCCCACCTTAGACACCTGTGGCCCAGCCCCAGAGTTTTGCAAATATCTCACCATTATAGTAGTTATGTTCAATTATCGATTTAATGTCATGACGGACTGTAGTGATAGTCCCATCTTCGTTCACCAGGACGGATAGTGGAACATTAGAGCCGCAAAGATCCCAACGGTGCTTCTTCAGACTGAATCATTGTTGACCAACTTCCAATAAATTTTCTGTCTATTACGTTGTAAATCCTCTTGCAAAGACCTTTTACAGCTAGCGTTTATTATCAGTTGTGTTTAGTTTGTTGCAGTAGGATCAAGTTTCGATATTCTTCTCATTTTGAGCAATTCCTTAGTCGCTCTGGCGAAAAGGTACAAACTTTCTGTTTGAAGAATTGAGGGAAGTTTGGTGGAAGTTTAAGGATTTTCGACAGGCAGAATGTAGCCCTCGGTCGGGTCTTCATTTTCTGCCAGCTATAGGAGGAGAGGATTTCGTTGAGAATATCCTCGTCACAAACGACTTGTTTCTTTTTTCTTGGACGATGACGGCAGTTTTTTTTTCGAGCCTACGGCTGAATCGAATCTTGGCAAGGAGAAAGCGATCATCAGATCCTGTGCAGAATCCAGGTACCATTGATGTGCAAAAAAGGCACCGTTTTCTGTTCATGAGAATATGATTGTTCTCCGCACAAGCTGCGCCGTTAGGAGATTTCCATGTCCAGCGGCGACTTTCTGTCTTCCCGAGAGGTGAATCACGATGGAAGAAATGTTCTGCGGAGAGGAGTCCTATGAAACGGTTTCCACTCTTATTTCGCTTCCTATTTCGAACTTTCGAACCCTGATCACTTCTTCATTGGCCGTTCCTGATCTGGCGTGGATCTGTCCAAGAACGAATCTGTAGAAGAACTTCTGGTTGTCGATTCTTTCCTCCGACAGGTTATTAAACGCGCCTAGTTTTATTTCATCAGTTGTAGAAGTTGGTGACTAACAGGTGATGATTCTGACTTTCTTTTGACTCTCAAGCTGGAGAAGTAGAATGGCGAAGCACGGTGATAGGATTTCGTATGAGGTGGCTAGATGGAAAACAGATGGGTGTGCCACAAAGATAACTCCTCCGACATTTCGTAGTGGAAACTTCCCTCAATGACATGAGTCCCGTCACCCAATTGGCATACGTCAGTCCACCTGCTTTTCATCTCTTGTAGGGAGGATAAAGGGTAAAGCTTTCGGCGTTGACCAATTCCTGAGGGATGCGCCATGTATTCGACTTCATTAAGCATAGTTTGGAGGTGATTGAATGGATATCTGGTCTTAACATTGACTCGCGGTGGCCTACCGATGTATCGAGCCAGTGCTGCTATCTTCCCAGACAAGTCTGGTACCAAATTGCGGATCCCAAATGGATGGAAAGCTTGGTAGGGCACGGATGATCGAATCCACGTGCGCGTTGAAGGGCGACTCCGACCACTGCGCCATATGCGCTATTGTAGGCAGACCATAAAGATGTATTCTTTCTTGATAAGCTTGCACGAGGTTGATAAATATATTTATTTTCGGCTAACGTTTCGACGTCTTCGTCTTCCTCAGAGCCGGTGATCCGAGTCGATGGTCCATGCTTGTTGTTCGCCTCGACGTTGCGTCTTCGCCTTCGTGTCGAGCCAGATCTTCCTCAGTGAGCCATCTTCTCGGAAAAAAAAAGACCATAAAGAATTTGATGCAATCAGCAGTCTCAAGAATAGAGTAGAGTTCTACGCCTGAAGAGACTGTTCTGAGTTTATGGAAGCACATCAAGAAGCTATTTCTATTGCGTGTCGTGGGCTTGCTCGTTTTGTCCGTTTCAAACTACGTCCTTTGCAATCTGAGATTTGATCGCCTCTCACCGGTTGTCTCACCCCCGAAGTCGTAGATAAGAGCGCACAATGTGTGGTGTACTGAGGGCGGAGTTTTGCTGGTTTAGTCCTTGTGGTTCCCTGCACTGCCAAGGTCAGACTAGCCAAAACCTTCTTCAGGTAGCCGCCACCTAAGGCAATCACCACATTTGTGGATCAGAATGAGATTTGCTACCATGCAATTAGTGTAACGATAGGATGGTGGTGATTCCTGGAGTCGGTTAAATGTAGCTGGCCTTCCGGATGTAAACGTCGGGCTCTTTAGCATGGGAGACCCTACCTGAGGGATGAACCTCCAGCTCTAGCCACGATGAGGCGGTAAATCGTCGGGAGGCATTAAAATAATTAGGTACCAAAGCCGCAAAGAAGGCTTCCTTTGTCTACTCTGTGTTTTTTAAGCCTGGTGTAAAACTGCCTGGCTCGCTTACGAAGTTATTAGAAGAGTTCTACAGTGATTTAGGCTTAAAAATCGTCAAAAATTACTGCGTTACTCCTTTTTTAAGACAGTGTTTCGTTGAAGAAGAGAATTTTCCTCGCACTCAAAGCGAGGAAACATTTTGCTCAACACTTTAATCGTAATTAAACATCATCTTTTATGACGGTGAGAGGATGTGTTATTACTTCAGAGTATGTCGGAGCTTCCAGTTAAAAGCCGCCGCTATTTTCTTGATTGATTTATGGGTTTCGACTACGTAGGTCAGTGTAGTGATTTCGTAGGTCGTGGCATGATTTGTAGCTTTTTTAAACAAATTTCCTTCCTTAGAACTTCTACGGAGTCAGTTAAAATAATTACAATAAGATTCGAGTACTCAGCGAGCGAACGATTTTTCGTTTTCGTTTTCTGGCGCAAATGCTTGTCCTAGTGCTTGTAGGAACCATCACGAACGAGAATTAGATTCAAAACCACAAGCGAATCCACTTCATATGTGATCGGACTCGGAGCTACCACACTGTTCCCGGGCCGGTGTGGATGAGAGGTGAAGCCGGCCGGTTGACAGCACGCCGCTTCCGCCCGCCTCCCGGGCGAGCTCGACGCCCGCGGCTCGGCCCGGTCGATCTGCCGCTCTCCCTCCCCCGTTCCTATCGATTCCCACAGTGCTCGAGCATCTCTTCGTTTGTGTTTATTCGTAGGCTTTACGTCTAGTCGTCTTCTTCTTTCGCTAACTCTGCCACCCAGACGCCACAATGCCTGCTCAGAGACTTTTCACATCTGCAATCTTCTTTTTAAGCTTGAAATTCTTTCGTAGCTTCAGCGTCTTTGCGCGAACAGTCTAGATAATTCTGTCTAAAAGTAGACACTTGTGCAGGTGTCGTTGTCAAAGATGTCGTTTAGGAAAATGATATGACCATTCCATAGTCATCGGCTGAATATCTTGTTTAGGCACGTGAGTGTGCACTGTTGGTCTCAATATTTTACTGTAACTCACTGTTTCCTTGACAAGCAAACACAACTGTTAGCACAGAGTTTATTGCTGTCTATTTTATTGTATTTTCCTCATATTATATTTATTATTAGTTGTATTTATTTTAGATGTTATTTTACATGTTTAAACTTATTTGTTGTACTTTTTGCCACTTATGTTAATGTTTAACGTTTATTTAGTCTCTGTTAATTTTTTCTATGGCAGAGCATTATGCGAAATACAACTAGAATGATGCTGAGATATGAGCAAAACTGATAACTCCAGATGAGCTTCGAACCCATGATTATTGTTTCCGGGAGCTCGCGTGTTATCCATTCTGTTACTCCTCTTGATTGGTGATTGCAGATAGCACCGTTGGGGTAAAAAAGCTGCTGAAACAAATGCAAAGCAACTGGCTCGACGATGCAGTGGATACCACGTGAGCCCTCGGGAAAGTAATTACGGGTTCGAATCTGGGCTGGGATTTCGTATTTTATTTATGTTAATAATTATAATTTTATTCATTTTTTGAGCCTCATCAGCAATGTTATCGTTATTACTATAGTTTTGTTTTAACAAAAACGTTATTTCTTCTTACTTGCATAGTTCGTTTCTCACTGTTTCTTTCCAGTTTTTCGTTTTATAGGAATGGTCGACCTCAAACAGCAGCTCAATGCTATTGACTATTTCGGAGTGGTGGCGGTGTGGTTGAGTTTCTTTTCTATCATATTCATCATTTCTGTTACTTGTATTCTGTGGTGCTGTGTAAGTAAGGACGATGACTCGACGGTATTCGCCAAGGTTCGCGAATTTAAATCGCTATTGATGTTCAGCATTTTACCTTATTGTAACACGTGGAAGAAAACGCTTATAGTGCCTAGATCGTCGCTCATTCCAACAGATTGCCTGATATGCCAATAAACTTCCAGTCTTCTTGTCAAAAACTTATTTCACTGATCTTCTCATAGAAGGATATAAATTGTGGAAATCCCCTAGAATAACAATAAGAATATGGAAATTAGGTTCAACGGTTCAGTGACTTTCGGATGTGAAGACATTTCATAGACTTTTTTCGTTTTTTTTCTTACACTAATGCCCAATCCACGTAGAACAACGCTGACCCCAAAGGGCACTTTCAATTACCTCAAAGTTCATAGTTGGAGAAGAAATCACCGTAGAATCGATATTAACTTGGTGTGCTTCTGAATACAATGCATTGCATGCTATTCTGCGAATATTTAAAGTTGGCAATGGTGCATTCATACTGATGACGCATCTCCTTTCCTTTCCGATGACGGCATTGCGCAAAAATCTTGCATAAAATCGAATACTGTCTTATTTTGTAAGATCTAATAGCTTTAAGTTTCCACTACTAAGCGTTTCGTTAGGATTTCACCCTGAAAATGTGGTAGATATCGAACCGACATCGGATTTTTTGCTTACAGTATGGCATGGGTCCGCGACAACGTCAGCGAACACCGGTGCATGTCGAGTGAGCTTCGTTCTCTTTAGGTAGCGGCTGTGTAGGTTTACTCTAGGTGCTATGGGGCCCACATCCCCTATGAAGTAATTCCTATTCTAGCACGTGATGAACTGATATCGATTGTGTGTAGAATTGTTCGTCATTATCGCCTGCTTCAGTCGAAAATGCTCACAAGCCCTCGAATTTCTCTGTGTTTATTCATTGGTTACTTTTTAAGATGCACTGAGTTTAGAAATAAAGTTGCTTCCTTTCTATAGTCAATCACCATCTCTTTCTTCTATGTGATTAGATTTGCTGTCGTATCCATTGCTTCTCAGATACGCACATGAATGTTCAATTCACTTGAAGAGGAATTTGTACATGTGTAATTTTTTCGTAAATTTAGAAACTAGAGACGTAGTGAATTTGTTCATCTGTGTTACGATACACACGTAGTAAAGTAATTTGTGAAACGCTGCACGTACAGTTTTAATCGTAAGAATTGTCCGTGACTAGATTGAATTCGCTTCAAATCTCAGTTAGAATTATGAGAAAATGGGCATCGGTATTCATAGAGCTTTTGCTAGATTCGTTACCCTACTCGTTTTCTCTGAGTGAGCTCTGTTACGTTAACTGGAACACATTCGAAAAACGTTTGAGAGTGTTCATCCGAAAATCTTACGACGAGTAAGTAAGTAATAAGCTGAGAAATTTGTAGGGTTCTATGTTCGTTTTGTTGTAGTTCTCCACTAGCATTTCTTCTGTGATAGGTTTTAAACCAACGAGATTTGTTTCTTGTACTTTAAGGACGTTGAGTGATCGTAGATAACCGGCCAATCCACTCTGAAATTTAACTGGTCCTCTTTTTTAATAGTAGGATTGCATTATCACAAAACATGGATGATAATCATTGAATAGCTTAGGTGTGTCGTAAACTCGTGGCTAACATGTACACTATGCGGTTAGTGTCGCGTTTAATAGGAGGCAATAAAAGTTTGCAACGACGCAATTCACCTGTAGATGGCCGGAGCAGGTTGTCATAGTATTTGTGCAGCAAGTGATGCCGTTATTGAAGATGGTCATAAGACGTTTATCGTTCGCAACTGGACGAACAGTGAGAAGTTGATAATTGCATGGCAGTACGCTTTCGAATGGCAATGGTCGAATGACATCTGGAACTCGGAAATGTTTGACAAAGCCAGCCAACACGATCGTTGACTTGTTACACATTGGAAACCATGCAAGTCTTTATGTAAAATCGAAAGTTCCAGAGCTCCAAATCATCTAGATTGCTAAGTAAACGCAACGTCGCCAGGTGTATCATTGTATAAAGGTTGAAAAATGACCTCCACTTATAGCGACTATTGGGGGATAAAGCAAATTTTGGACGGCAAGATGACCGGCAGGTGTGTAATACGTTGAATGTGATTCAGTCTGAAAGGTATAGAATCTATAGAAAGGAAAAAGCAGTGACATATTGTGAAATACCGCTACCGGTATTTGATCGATAGCCTCAACTATAACACTGAAACCCAGTTCGATTGGCAGAAGATCTGTCGGCAGTGAATCAGAATCCGATCCAAGACCTTTATTGTCGTCCTGATTCAGTATGCGATCTGAAAGGTATGATGGATTGAGGAAGAAGGTAGTTACATTCATCTTAGCATGACCCAGGCAGAGACAAAATTTCCAAAAATGCTTAAAACTCTCCTAACACTTCAGAAGACCTCTTACCCAGCAGAATCTCCATGCCTTGAGGAAGGTGTGAAATTCCATGCTCAACATTAGTAGCGAGAGTTATTCTCTTTGAATTATCTTCCAGAACACTCGCAGACGGCATAGGATAGTAATTTTCGGGAGTCGACAGCGTTTCATGGTGTTCTCGACGCAAGAGCTGAAAAATTCGAGCAAGAATAAGAAATTTATCTGTTTTTTTGTAGCATTATTTATTGGCTTTTCATACAGTGCATATTTTGATAAGAAGGAGAATATTTGTTTTGCAAGCCTGCGCAGTGACGACTTTCAAGAGGAAACGGTGTTTGAGAGGACATTCACATGTCGCTCAAGTGAAGAATGCGTGCATAGCTAGTCTGCTCATTCACACCTTCCACAAGAAAGACTGTGTTGCCGGTGGGCAAGTGCCACTGTAACAATTTGAAAACTCAAATTTCACATTTATAGTCATAGATAAGAAGGTTGAGAGTAGGTGTAGCGCAGTTCTTGGGCTTTGAAATGCACACAGAGTCATTGATTAAAACCGGCTCCGCTCTCAATCTAAGCCCTTCATCCCTCCGGGATCAGCAAGTTTTTGGCATACTTATCTATGTGGGTAGAAGCACTCATATGATAGATTTCCTTGTCGCTTTAAACCTCATAGTAAATAGAAGAATGAAAGGTCCCGGCTGTGCGCGCTGTAGATCTTCATTGTTGTGAAATCCCAGAAATCTTTCGATATGATGTCGAAAAATTGAGCAGTGCAGCTGAAGAAAATGAATGAAAAGAATTTGGAATGCGCTGCTGTACGCATGAAGTCACCGTTTCTGAGGATAGTGCAGGGCAAGAAATAACGATAAACGAGGTAAGAATATACCAGAACCCTTGTAAACTAAGAAATTAGTCATCTGGGCATTACCTTATAGGAATGACCACTTGTCAAAGGTGTAATGAGATCAGTACTTTTACGAAATGTTTTGCGAGTTGTGTTGAAAAACTGCTTACTTGTAATCCTGCGCTGTCTGCGTAAAATCGTGGACTTTCCAAGTCTGTGGTGAGACGCATTACAAATTCTGTGTTTTGCTCCTTAGTGATATCTAATCGTATAAGGAAGTTGATTTGTTGTGCAAAGGAACCTAAATAATTGAATACTCGGTTCTAATTTGATCTTAGTGGTGAAATTCCTCCAAAAGCAGTACATTCCACGTTTTTCAAGATAATCCTCTTGTAAACATTTGGGTAGTACAGATGAGCTGTCTGCTGTAGCATTCCTTTTGCTATGAAGCGTATTGCTTGTCCACTATGGTGGAGCTAGAAGTACACAGAATTTCACTTTCGTTAGCGCGCAGTGAAAATGGATTTGAAAACTTAAGTGTATTAGAAAGTGAAGGACTTTAGCAGAGGTAGGGAGGCGCATCAGATACGCTCCTCCTGTAGCAGGATTATACGTGTAGAACTCCGCTTTCAAAGTTGTCTTTCCCGTCGTCTTTGATAAGATGTGCTGAAAGTGGTATGGCTTTCAGAACTATGAAGCCATTGCCATTTCATTTTTCTGATGTTGGAAACATTTTCAACCCACTGTGAGCATTCCATTCTTAGTGTTGTGAAACGTTTTCAAATGATGGTTTTCAAGATGAAAGTCTTTGGCATCAATGATTTGGATGTTGAAAGTTCTGTAGAAAAGCGTACTTGTAGTAAAGTTCACATTGAGATCCTTCAATGGCAGATGTACTGGTAGCTACCTTGGAAAGTTATTCAAGTACAGTTTTTTTCGGAATCTTTTAGTCGTAAGAATAGTGACAATTTTCGTGAGTTTCGGATGAACGTCGTGCTCGAGAAAATACGTTGATGTTGAGAGCGCACGAAGAGGGCAGCGGAATACCAACTGAAATGCAATCAATTTCGTTCTTTATTTGCCACTCAAATGAGCAATTTGGAAACAGTAAATAACGTTAAATTCTTATTTACTGAATAGTATCATTTTCCACCGCAGGGTATGATGTGAAATACAATTACCATGATGCTGAGCGCGTATAGCGCAGTAGTCAGTGGTGCCCTTCAATAAACAGAGGACCGATCACCTCGCTCCAGGTCCACCAAGCCTTTCATCTCTCCGGGGTAGGAAAATTGGTACCAGACCACGTCAGCTTGACTATATTCAATTCCGATTTGTGCTCACCAGATCATTCCCGTTGACAAGTGTTTGCTGATGGCACCACTAGATAGATAGTTGGCTAAGAGAAAGGCAAATCAAGAGCCTCACTGTAGCAGTACGTAACACGTGAACCTCCGGAAAGGGTAAACGAGAGGTTTGACTTGAATTAGAGTGAACGTTCTGCAAGTATCTCACTATCGTAGCGATTGTATTTCAAAATAAATATTATTTATTCATAAATATCATTAGGTTTTCTGGAGTGGTTAGAGTTGTACTGCATTGAGCGTAGTCGTTAATAGAACCGCACGTTGGTCCAGTGCGCACTGCAGTGCATCTCTAGCCACTATGCTACATAGACTCTGTGGCTAATCGTAGTAATCACTATAACAGTGAATTACTAGCGAAAAAGTTAGACTTCATTCTATGATATTCAAGTCATCCTTGAACTGAATATATCCTGGACAGTAGGACTCATCTTACCGGCACCTTAGCGAAAAGCAGAAAAGGGCTTTCCAAAGAGGTCATTCACCTAAAGACTGAGGCTAGACAGCGAACAGAACAACCGAATTAGAGGGGTTTAGCAGTGTTGAAATGGAAAGAGCTGAGGCGCATAATTATGATCTCTACTGCTCTCGCGATCCTTTCCCACAAGTCATCAAATTCGCATGAGATTGAACTCTACAGCCAAGGGAAGCTTTACGTGGGTACAGCCAACCAGATGGCAACCAATTGTCCACATGCTAACAGGTCTTGCAAGTGATAAGTAGATTTTTGATTCTTCGTGTTTAAGACAGACCTTTTTCAACAATCGTTCAAGTATGCACGGTTATTCTTTTGCCTGGTCACTTAGTCGTCTTTGATAAACGCATGGAAGGCGTTCAATATTCATGAGCAAAGAACCTCTCTCATTGAATAAAGGCAGACGTCTACGTGTGTTACATTGGAGGCGAGAGAACTTCCACACCAGTGAGCTGTCGTTTCGTTGAAGAATGCTGTACCGTTGAGCCAACGACAGTGAAATGATGGATGTTATAACGTATTACGATCGCGCATAGCTGCAGCACATCTCAGCGGGTTAACACTATGTGCTAACAAAGTAACATACATTAAAATTTAGAATGTTTCAATACTGGTCATAAAAAGTGTTCATATTCAACATTCAAGTTCGAACGATTTGCGTGAGTGT